CCACCTTCCAGCACCACTGTCACTGCCCGCCCCAAGCACAGCTTAGCTCAGCCCCCCCGCCCCACCCTCCGCACAAATCCAGGGGCACATGCTCCCCATGCCTTCCTGGGGTGTGTGTAGTGGTGGGAGCCGCCACCCCATGTGGCTCAGTCCCATGTCCCACCCCTGCCCCAGCCCTACTCCCTTCCCCCACAGCAAACTTACTAGCTGGACCCAGCTGCTCTCTACATGGCCAGGTTGCACTCCTGGCCACCTGTGTGCTGTGATGAGGCTGGGCACATACACATGGAGTTCTGCATACCCACTATGACCCTTTTAATTACTCCTAGGAGTACACATACCCCCAGTTGACCACCAATGGTATAGAATCATTATTTCTTACCTCTTTTCCAGGGATATTAGGTTTTATTACCAGCGACTGCTTTAATCTTTCCCCTTATGTGTGAGAATGCTCCTAATAAGCATCAGCAAAAATACTTTACTATTCTACAAATCTCTCATAAAACTGTCGTGCATTATGCTATCTATATAAAGTCATTTATCATAATTAGGCAGCTATTACACTGTCATTGCTCGTTATACCGATGCTAGTTGTTTCACTGTTACCTTTCTCTCTGCTCTCTGTTGCCTGCTATAATATACTTAGTTTGTAAGCTTTCTGGGACAGAAACTATCTTTTTGGTAGGTGTATACTGGGGAGGGGGGCAATTATTTTGGGTGGAGGACCACTTAACGAGGTTGGGTGAGCTTTTGAGGGCCGCATGGGTAGCCCTGCCTCCTGGTCACTATCTTGGGACTAGAAGTCCTGCCCTCTACCCCCTGTCCTTTGGCACTGGAAGTCCCCCTCGCCTTGCCCCCTGGAAGTGTTGTATTTGGGAGGAGGGGTTGCCATCTTAGAACCAGAAAAAAACAAAATCATACACTAGGAGTCACTGCTATAACGTATTTTAATTTTATTACAAAAAGTATTTTTGTTATGATTTGTGTTTGCATACTGTATGTAGAGGTGATTGTGTAATAACTAAAAAATAAATTCGTAATGATCAGATTTCAAATATGTGCTCCCAAAGATCACTGGTGAGGAAGTTTAAAAAATTTAAGTCACTGCTTGGGCTGAAAACTAATATCAAATAAAATGGCTCATTCCCCATTTGTTTATCCTTTATCCAAAATCAGGAAATGAATAAAATTCATCTTTAAGTAATCAAATGTTTAAATACATTTATTAAAAGCATATTAATAGCAAGGATACTATGAACGTTGGCAACTTTTTCCATAAAAATATCACCCAACGTATTTTTCAGTATTAGCCATTTGTTAAACACCTACCTTAAACATTTTGCAGTTTTCAGAATATGTTAGTATGAAAAAAATTAATATTAGTAAAACATTTAGGTGGAAGAATATAATTTTAAAATTCTATTTAAAAAACTTATTTAAAATGTTAGACACATGTCTATGAAAAAATAGTTAAGTCCCAGTTTTGAGTTCCTCACTTTATAATTTGAAAAAGAAAAGGGAAAAAGGTATTTGTCAGCTAGAACATATCTATGTACTACAATGGGTTTTTATATGATTAATGTACAGAAGAAAGTAGAAGAAAATGATTCTTAAAATTTTCTATTATTGTGGGACTAAGATAAGGGGTCAGATTCATTCATAGGAGGCACTGTATAAACCAGAGGCAGGCAAAATAGAGCCTGCAGACCAGATCCAGTCCTCCAGGCACTTCTGTCTGGCCTGCAGTGCCCACCAAGTAATTGTACCCTGCCCAGCCCTTCCACTTGCAGCAGTGGAAATGAGGTGCCCATGTGTATACACACCCCCTGCTAACATCCTCTATTGTGCCTTGCTCCCACTCTTGTGGGTGGGAGGGCCAGGCCCGGCCAGCACACAGCTTCTGGGCTAGGCTGCTGCCACTGCTGCAGCTGCAGTTGGACCTGCTCAGCTTCCCCAGAATCCTGCTTGCTCTGGGCAGCAGCTAGGGAAGCAGTGGGGGTGGGGGCTATAGGGGAGCTGCAGCTGGGTAGGAGCACAGAGTGTGCAGCGGGGGCTGGCAGCAGTCCTTAGTTTGCACCCAAGGAGTTGGCGGCAGTGTGGAGCTCAGGTTGGCAGGGTGTGGGTGTGAGGGAGTTTGGGGGGAGATGTGGGGACACCCCTTCCCACAGTCCTCCATGGTGCACAGCCCTGGTAGGCAGCAGCAACAACAGCAAGATGGGGCACTCAGGACACTTGTGCACAGTGCAGGGGCTGGTTCCCAGTGGTGCAGAGTTCTGGCCAGTGCTGCACATTATGGCGAGGGGCACAGCCCCTGCTGAGCCACTTCCCCATGGAGTCCCGGGACCTGAGGTAGGGGGAAGGGAAGACATTCGGCTCCAACATGTGGGGCTTTCATAGATTCATAGATGCTGGGGTCAGAAAGGACCTCAGTAGATCATTGAGTCAGACCCCCTGCCCTGGGCAGGAAAGGGTGCTGGGGTCAGATGACCCCAGCCAGATGCCTATCCAGGCTTCTCTTAAAGACCCCCAAGGCCTTCTCTTGACAACCCCTGAGATAGCAGAGAGCACCAACTCCCTTGCAAGCCTATTCCAAATTCTGGCCATCCTTACTTTCTTCCCATGGTGTGCGAGTGCAGGGGACTGCGCATGTGCGGTAGGGAGTGCCACTGATAGAGGTGGCCTAGCAGGGGCTGCGCCTCTCACTGCAATGTGCAGTGCTGGCCACAGCTACGCATCACTGGGCACAAGTGCCTATGCCAGGCACATGCACCCCGAGCATCCCCACCTGCTGCTGTTGCTGCTGGCCATGGGAGGAGTGTGTGGGGGGTCCTCACACCCCCTCCACCCTCTCTCACACTGCACAAACCCACACCTTGCCCCCCCAACCTCTCACAAATACACCCCCCCAACATACCCCATTTCTCTGACATACACACAACCACACCCTCATAACCCCTCTTACACACACATCCGCACACCCTCCATACATCAACCCCCCACACCCCACCATACACACACATCCACATTGAAGATTTGATCAATTTAGTTCAATCTCCACCATATTATTCCTGGTGTTTGATAAAGAATGACAGAGCAAAGACCAGCCATTTTTCTTTTCTTCAAATGGAAGGTGTTTTCATTTCCTTTTAATGTTTCCCTTCTTATTAATGCCTTCTAGTGCAAAGTGTTCTTATAAAACCTAATGTAAAAGGACTCGAAGATGAAAAGGAGGAACCTTTACCTGTATCACCACTGTAAGTAAATTAAGTATGTAAATAGTCTAATGCTCAATCAAGGTACCAGTGCATGCATTCAACTCTAACTGAAATAGATGTGTGAGATGAACAGGCTCCTAATATTCTTTCTGGGATTTAGCAATAACAGCTAGCTTGTTTTTATAGGTAGCTTATTATATTTTTAAATGCTTTACAGATTTTCACTATGGGTGCATCTACACATGCATTTAATGTGACACAATAAACTCTGGCGTAGTTTGAGCAGGGGCGCAGCATCTATATGTGCACCCAGGACAGCAGCAATTTGAGCCAGGATGGAGCAGGCCCCCAGCTGGCTGGGTTAACAAGGTGTAATGTACACCCCCAGTCATTGTCTGCATGTGCATCTTGGCACAGTAAAGTACCCTACCATAAGATAGTACTGTCCCTGACAAGATGAACAATGCGTGCCCCCAGAGGCTGGGGGGGCACGGTGATTGCCCGCAGGGGTATGGCGGCGGTGTGTACAGAGCTTCCGCAGGCAATCGTGGTGGTGTTGGTGGTGGGAGCGGGGTGAGCAGGGAGCTCCCACAGGCAACCACAGTGGTGTCAGTGGTAGGGGGTGGCAAGCACCAACCAGCAGTTGGCAACCACCCTCAGATGCTGCTGGCAGCATCAGCAGTGGCCAACACCAATTGGTGACCGCTCACAGACACTGCTGATGGTTTCAGTGGTGAGAGGTGGGGTGAGTGGGGACCTTTCTTGGGGGGTGCACGTGCACCCCCTATACGTCACCAATTCCTGACAATACTACCTTAAAGTGGAGTTAATTAGTTTACTGTACTGTAATAGAGGCACACGTGTACACTGTGACACTTAATGCACAGCTAATTAATCTACTCAGCAATAAAGTGCACTTGTAGATGCACCCTGTGCCCAGATCCAGAAATCCAGGTATGTGCAGTTTGTGGTGCTGCAAACCTCTTTGCAGCACCAGAAACTGCCCCTATTGCATGTTAAACTGTGTGTAGCATTGCTAATTTAAAGCTCCAGAGCAAAATTTGTTACTTGGATTTCCTGGTAGCAAAAAACGCACAAGAAAAAAGCGGCACAAAGTATTTCAAAGTGGTGTGCACTGGGATAAATGTGGAGATGGGGAAGCAGGCACCTTGGCCTGCCAGCTCCCCCTCTGTGCTCTGTGGAGTCCCTGCACTGAGGCACCTTGCACCCCAGCCGGCTGCTCCCTGGCTAGCTGGGGCACAGTGTGCCTCGAGACAGAGGAGCAGGCAGCCCTGGGTTGGCTGCTCCCTTGACTCTCTCTGCCTCAACGTGGGCTCTCCACTGGAGCTCCTGCTCTGAGGCAGGTGGAGCCTGTATGTTGAGGTACACTGTGCCCCAGCCAGCCCGGAGCAGCTGGCTGGGGCTCAGCATGCCTCAAGACAGAGGAGCAGTCAGCCCAGGGTTGCATGCGCCCGGGTCTCATGCCACACTGTGCCCCAGTCAGCTGGGAGGTAGCTGGCTGGGGCACAGGGTGCCTCAGAGCAGGAGCTCTACAGTGTGCGGAGATGGAGCAGGTAGCCCAGAGCTGCCTGCTCCCCTGTTTCCACATGCTGCTCCCTGGCTAACAGGGCTGTGAGAAGCTTCGGTCCCTGATTTCATTTGCCAGAGATTCAGCCTGATTCGGTGGCCAAATCTCTGAATGCGACTCAAATCAGAAGACTCTTTAATGTCTCCAAATCAAATCGGAACCGTCTGAATTGATTTGGATAGATTTGGAAAGATTTGACGATTCAGATATAGACACAGCTTTAAATGTTTTTTCTCCATACCGCAGAGTGCCAGGCAGACACCACAGTGCTGGGGCAGATGGAGCGTTCCACAGGAGTGCGGGGGCTCCCTAGTGCGCTTGTCAGCAGACCCGGAAGTGGACCACAAACCCTTCCAGGTTTGCTGCGGAGCACGTGCCCCCCCCCTTGCACTCTTGTGGGTTGCTCCATCCACCCCAGCATTGCAGCATTCATGAGCCATGCCTGGTACCTTGAGGTAAGTAGAAAAAACATTTAAAGCTGTGTCTATGGCTGAATTGATGATTCTCTGGGGTTGTGGGGGCTTCCCAGGGCTGCAGCAGCAGCAATTCTCCCACGCAGAGCCTGGCCAGCAGCTACAGCACAACTCTGGGTGGTCTGACTGCTTCTGAGCATTGTGCGCTGCCCGTGTGTGCACTGCTCTGCTTTTTTTTCCGTGGGTTTTTTTGACCCCTGGATATCCATTGGTCAAAAAACCCCTCCGTGCTTCTCCCTTGAAGACGGTGTCAGCATTTCTATGGATATCAGTTCAGGGTCAAGTTCTATTTCAGAATGTGAGGAATATCACATCTGGTTGACATAATACCAAATTAGGGTATATAGTCTGAAGCAAGTGTGTCACTTGTGAATTAACTGGTAACTGTATATGCTTTCTACATAGGAACTGATATTTCATAGTTGATAATATCTGATGAAGTTATCAACTATGTTATCAGTTATAGTGGGAAACCTTCAGTAAAAGCAGTTGATTTGAAATAGTTTCAAAGATACTGGAGTGTGTTATCTGATGAAGACTGAGCAAATATATGCTTAACTTTCCGTTACCCTGTGCTAGGGAGATGTACGTAACACACCTGTCTGATTTAAATATATGTGTCCATAAAGAGATCTCTGTCTTTTTGTTCACGCATTTTAGAGTGGATTACTGAGCTAAAATTAAATGAGATTTGTATTTAATATTTGTTTTCTTTATTCTCCTCACTTTGTTTAGAGGCCTGGATTTTTCTAGACCATGGCATGAGAGTTTTATACAAGCAAAAAATCAAATAATTTCAAACTTACACATTCTTCACCCTACCCTGAAAATTTTACTGGATATTGGTTACACAACGTTTTCCAAAATACTTGTAGTGGATTTGTCAAGTTTCAGGTAAAATTTCCTGTTGAATTCACATTCTAAATATTGTGTATATGATAGGGTTGCACTGATATATATCAGTTGGCTACCAGATTGGCACCAATAAAAGGAGAAATTATATTATCGGCCATTGGGTTTTTTTGGTCGTTGTAGCCGATAATTATGGCCTCATGCCTGGAGCACCCTGGTGAGCATAGTTCAGTCCCTGCACCCTGCCACTGGCCTGAGCCCACAGGAGACTACAGGTCCCAGCAAGAAGTGGGAGAGGGAGCAGGTGCCAGGGTGCCATGCTCAGCAACAAAGGGACCATGACCAGCTCTTGCCGCCTCTGCCATGGCAATGCTGTGCATGCAGCAGGGGCCTGAGCACTGGGGCTGCCACAGCGATGTTGAGCTGTGCATGAGTGAGGTAAGGAACCACACAAGGGGTACCAGTCACCTTTGCAAAAGTAGCTTCTCCCCAGCAGCTGTGGGAGCTTGACTGTGTGGTGCCTGCTGGAGCTGAGGCAGCGGTGTGCACTGGGGCTCCAAATGCACCCAGCATTGCTGTCTACACAAGGGTTTGCCCCACCCTTCCAGGACAACAGCACAGGCTGTGTGGGGAACAGGGCTACAGGTAGGAGCCATGGGCGAAGGAACAACATGCATGGGAATGAGACGGTCACCACCTTCCTCATCAAGGGCCAGAGCAGGCAGGAAGTGGGTGTGTGTTATAAATGCAAAACACACAAAGATGCTTTGCACTATTACTAAATATCGGTTATTGGATTGGCATTGGCTAATATGGTTGGTTAATCATCAGCTATCAGTATGGGCCAAGAAACTCATTATTGATGCACCCCTAATATATTCTTTTGTAGTCAATAAATAATGTATGCAGTATGAAATTGTTTTTTTTAACTTCCTATATAATGAGTGGTTTAATGTACACTGGGCATGTCTACACAAGACATTTACTGCACAGTTGACTAATCAACTGCACAGTAAACATCTCAGCATCTACTCATGTTCCCCTACTAGGACGCACAAAACTAATAAACTCTGTAGCAGGTTAGGACTTGTAAATACAAAGTAACCTGCTGTAGAGTGTCTTTGTGTACAGTAGCACCCATGTAGATGCTGCCCCGGCTGACTGGAGCACAGGGTGCTGCAGTGCAGGGCTAGCTGTCAGGAAGCCCCTGTGCTGAAGCACCCTTATGCTTCAGCCAGCCACTTTGCAGCATGTGGAGCCGTGTTGAAATAGCCCTTGGCTGGCTGCTCCAATGGGGCTCCATATGCTGCGGAGTGGCTGGCTGGGGAACAAAGGTTCCAACGGTGCGGCTGGGAGCAAAAAACTCCAGAGCAATAAACTATGGAGTTTATTCGTGTGCATTAATTGCACGTGTACACATATCCACTGTTGCTTCTTTTAGTCCTGTAATCTGGAAACCTCATATTCAGGTTTCATATAATTTTCCTGCTTTGTGCTAGGGATATATAATATATCTGCCATTACATTATTTCCCACTAATTCTCTTACGGCCAGTCAGGTAACTCAAAGGGAAAATTTTCATTAACTTTAGTGGGACCAAGATTTGGCAGGTTGTGTCCTAGTTTTCTTACCCAAAGAAACTGCTATAGGATTTTCTTGCAAGACAAATAGTTTTGGGAAATCCCACGGTAATCCTGAGAATGTCCTCATTTTTACCTTTTCTCTCCATTTTGTTTTCCTCTCCAGGTGTTTTTATTTTTCCTCTTTTTGATGTTGATAGGTCCAGTTTTATTCTCTTTCACCTTTTTACTAGTCATGTCACTTCCAAATCTACTTGCCTGAAAAGAAAGTATAGAGTCTACAGTTTGAAAGCTACAATAAGATACTGGAGTCACACCATTATTTATTTGGTTTTAGATCATAGAATTTCAGTTTTCAAATCAGTCCTTCCTTTTATCTAGGTTGAAAGGTCCAGTTGAATGTGAATCATTGAAGAATGATGTATCTTTAAGCTGCTCAAAAACAGAAGAGAAGTTACTGAGCACATGGTATCCAAGAGTTATCAATCTCTTCACCAGAAAGGAAGCACTAAAGGGTGTCAAGTCAGATAAAGCTGACTCTTTTTATAATTGTGTGGCTACACTTATGTCTAATCAGGTGAAAATATTTTCTAATAATACTACCTTTTGTTGATTTTTTTTGAGCATTTAAATAAAAGACTAAGATATTACTCAACCTTTTTTTTTTAATATGAAGAATAATTTTGGACATTAAGCCTAAGTACAGACGGTCAAAAAGCCCAAGGCTGAATTGATCCAATCTTCACAGGTCGATCTAAGCTGTGTAGATTGAATCAATAAGCAAGTGAACGGACATTCACTTTTGATTCTGGAAATGTAGCCACGTGCCTGCAGTGGCTCAGGCCAGAAACTGGGAGGTGCTAGAGCACACTTCCTGGCTTGGCTGGAGCAGACAGCTTGGACCCACGGTAGCCTGCCCACCCTGCAAGAATTGGGGGAGATGCAGGGGAGGTGCAAAGCAACCTGGGGTACTGGGGTTAACTTGAATCTGAAGGGGATCTGGGACAGAAGTTCAATAAACCGATTTAGCCTAAATCAGTTTTATCTGATACTGCATCCATATAGATTTATCTTAAACTGGTTTCAGCCACTTTGAAAGCAGTTTATATGCACTGAGCTTCTGTTGTGTTACAGATTTGAACCAGTTTCTGAACACTTACACCGGTTTATGTGGCATTTTTGTCCCTAGCTTAAAAAATGTCATAGAGAGATCACCTTAACTTGAAATCTAACATGTTTAAAAACGTGAGCTCCAGTTTAGGTATAAGTACTACAATTACTTTTCTTAGTAATAAAAAAAAGTCCTCTACTACCCTCCTGCTGTGTTTTTAATACTCATACACAGATATAAGGAAGGGAAATTGACTATTGCCCCAATCTTACAAATATATGGGGAAGGGGCTTGGAAGGGGGGCAGATCAAGGCCCACACATTGAGGGAGGGAGTGGGGCAGAGACAGGGGCAAGGGCTGGGGTGAATGGGGCCCTCGCCAGGCTGGGAGATGGGATGCTCATAGCTCCCGTGCCTCATCCAGGGGTTCCCACCACTGTGTGCAACCTGGGAGAGGCCCAGGAGGAACATGCCCCTGCCCCCCGGATCTGTGCGCGAGGCAGAGGTGGGTTGCCCCGGGCTCTGTGCCCCGCTGTCACTGCCTCTGGAGCTGCGCAGTGGCATGTGCATCCCACAGCTGGGCGGGCAGGGGACATGGCGCAGCCCAGTGGTGGCAGGCACATGGCGTTGCATGGTTCCGGAGGCAGTGACAGCAAGACACAGAGCCCAGCATGCAGCAGCAGCCCACCTCCATCCCACACATAGATCTGGCAGCCCATCTCTATCCTGTGCACAGATTAGGGGGGGCAAGTGCCCCCCTGGGGTGCTCACAGTAGTGGGAGCTCCCCCATGCTCCTGGACAAGCCACCCAGGCTCTGAGCCACCTGGGCTCCGAGCCCCTTGGGCTCCGACCCTCCCGTGACCCACCCTGGCCCTCGGGCCCCTGCCCATACCTCTGCCTCACTTGCTCCCTCACCGCAGGGGCCTTGATCTGCCCACCCACTTACCCACCTCTTCCCCTATAGACTTGCCTGCTGGGGGGGTACATGTGCACATGCACATAATTTTGCCTCTCTCAAATATTTTTTCTCCCTCCACATATGGGGAGAGAGAAGAAAGGCAGCAGAGGCTGGGGATGAAGGACAGGGTGGGGAGCAGAGGCAGAGGAGGAAGGGGGAGCCCAAGGCTATGGGGGAACAGAAATGGCAGGGGGGGGGGGGCAAACAAAGGGGGAAGCGCGTTACCCACCCCT